TTGCCATTTGCTCATAGCAGAATCAAAACTAAAATTGTTCCTATTGTGCATGTACATTAATTCAAAACAATTGTAAAGCGAAAGTCTTATGCAAAATGTATTAGGTCAGGAAAAGCTCAGTTTTGAAAGATTATTATTGGTGTGATCTACAGAACTTTGTGTGTGGGGACAAGTTGTGGTGTTTACTGGTTTTTGTTTAAAGTTAGTGGAAGCAGATGATTATAATTGTCAACTATCTACACCATAAATGGCAAATGATCAGTTATTTTGGTCTTAAGTTCTGTTGGATAACTCAAATAAATACATGTTTCTGAGCTCACGATGAGATCAAGCCCCACAAAAATACTCTTGCAAATTGGATGTCAAACTTTTGACTTAGAGATTTTATACTTCTAATTTAGATAATTAGTTTATAGTCTCCTCTTCCAACTAAGATGGAAGGCTTAACAGAGGTTTGCCACAGGGTTCAGCCTAACTATTGAAATAAAAATGTTCTCTTCTTACAGAAGACATTTTTTGAGGAAGAGATTGAAGGAGAAGCTCGTTCTTTACACAGATTTATTCATTTTTTTCTTCCTATTCATTACAGAATTTCTTCCTGGGAGTAAACAAATACTAAAGTAAAATACCCAACAATTAATCAAACAATATCACGCTCATATTTATTTGATACCTTTATTTGCTAATACATGCCTTGCTGTTGTAAAAACACGTTCCAGAGGAAATCAAATTCAATAATAGTTATCACATAAAGGTACTTCCCAAAGCACACACTATAGGTCATGCTACTGCTAATAGCAACCCTTAAACAGGTAAAGCAGTCATAAGCCTGCTTTAACACTTCTGTATCCTGGTATTTCCAGGCCTTTATAGCAAAGAGGCTTTTATAAATAATTGCTAGTTGTATATGCAAATCATGTTTAGCATTAGAAAACTCAGTTCTTTTACTATGACAGTATGAGGGAGTTTGACTAGGACTAGAGAAAAATGAGTAAGTAACATCTGCCGTAAGGTGTCTGCATGGGATGTTGGTTAACCTGTGTTGCTGTACCTGCTACAGTTTATTTGATTATTGTTCAGATAATTTTGGTGCTTTTGATGAATTATCTTAATTTTTTAAAAATCATTAGTTTTTTCCTGTTTGGCAAGGAAGGACAAAAGTGTCTTTTAGTTTGTATCAGTTCCACGTGTACCTTTGAAATTATTTTATCAAATCCATATTTTGCTCAGTTTGCTTACAAAGATGTTATGTGGGCTGTAATATGCTTTAGATACATCACAATTCCACTGTATCAGCAAGACCTGCTACTCCGACACAGAGGAAAGCTAAGCAAGTTTGTTCTGCTTTGCTATTCCTGTCTGCGTGCTTGATGCTGGGTGCTACAGTGAGTTCTCAGTGTAATTGACATTTCTTGGAATTAAAGTTGGTCTGGCTGCTATTTAATTTCCTGGCTTCTACTCTCCTCCTTTGTTGTGCCCACTTTCAGTTTTAGGGGACTTTACCTGTTCTCCATGTACTCAAAGGGAATTTCTGACAACAGAGATTGTCTTGCAGATTTTCTTAAATTACAGGAAGGGTTAACTTTAACAAGTCCAGTCTATTGCAAAACATCTGATTTCTTTAAATAGTCTGTAGCCTTTTTTCCTGTTCCAGCCTGAATGTTTTGCCCCTTTATTGCTGCTTTCAATCATTTGATCATTTCTGTTAATGAAGGCTGGAGGAAAAAACACATGCATCACTGAAACCCTTTCAGAATGATCTTGTGCTTTACTTGGGGATTGGCACGCCGGCTGTTTCCTTGGGCTTTCTTTTTGCTGTCAACATGCTTTTGCAATGCCTGCTTTTTAGAACAAGTCATGAGAATGAAACGCTTATTCTGTGTCTGGCCAGTATATTTGAACCAGAGTTTGACTCCTTGGTTGAACCCAAGCATGTCTTTGATTTAGCCAGTTGTCGCATGTACATTTTGTGTCTTCAGGTGCAACGCAATTTCGGCATTTAAAAGTTTCACAAGATGTTTACCTTCATGGGAAACAGGTAGAAAAAAAAATCATTTAAAATGTATCTCAATACTGAAGAGACATGCAACTTTGAAGTGTGTTAAATATAAAATTAGGTCTTGATAGTATTTGTTTTTTTCATAATTTATAATTAGTCTTTGAAAGAAACAAAGATGCTTAAACCTTTACCACTGATACTCTTCCCCCAGCTCTGTGGCTCCTAAGAATAGAGAATTGGTTGGTGGACTGTGGATTTGTTTTTTTATCATGCGTAAACATTTCAAAGCTGCTTTTTTGTTTTGTTTTGTTTTAGTGTGGGTTTTTTTGAGAATGACATGAAGTGAGAAGGAAAAAGAGAAGGATTTTGATAGGTAATCAATGGTGTCTTTGGCTCAGTTAATATTTTTGAAGAATTGACCGTTATGCCTAGATGATCAGATGTTGTTGCCTGCATGTGCTGTACTAATGGATGTGCTAGGTGGGGATCTTCAGAGCTGCCTGAAAGAGCTACATGAGTTTTAGCAAATATCTAGGCCTTTTGGCTTGTTTATCCATCCTGATAGACTCAGCAGAATGCAAACTTCACAGTATTGTGAAGTGTCTGGCCAGTTTATTTGCAAATTTATCTGGCTGAATGTGAACACAGATCAGAGCAAAGAAAATTCATTTTTCAAATAACATAGTGATGCAGCTAGCCTTTATAATCATTCCCATGCTCAGTGCAACTGTATCTGATAGCATTTACAATAAGCTTCTTTTAGAAGTTTTATCTTCTGCTCATTGATCTATTTCTGTGAGATCTTTTAGTGCTACAAATGATGTGCTGATGGCATTGCTCAGTGAGCAGTCTTTGTTTTGAATGTTAGAATTTCTGTGGGGATCCTTCAAGGCTCCCTGCTTTATCTGCTTTCTGCTTCTGTAACCAATTACAGAATTTTTTTTGGAAGTCTGAAGATACTTTCCTCACCCTTGAAAGTGAGAACTCCACTTTCCCAGTCTGCACTTTGTTCCATCTGCCGTAGCCCATCTATATGTTTGTGTTTGACGTCTTCAGGAGACGCAGAACTGAAAGAGCCTTTCTGAGTTAGCAGATCCAGCTCCCTGTTGCCTTGGGCTGTCACATCACAGGAGGCAACTTTCAACTGAAATCCAAGATAGTTAAAGTGGAACTTGTGATCTTCTTGTTCCTCCACACCTCAAACCATTTTTAATAGCTTGGATACTATTATCTTCCTGGTTGTCTTACATTCTTGATGTCACTTTTGGCTTGGCATTCCTTCAAGTGGTAAACACATTCTGATGCTGCTTTGTCTGCAGCAGCAAAGTTTTGATCTTTCTGCTCATTCTGTATCACTTAAATTCTCACCAAGTCCTTACACGTTTTAACATAATCAATTTTTTCCTGCTCTACCTCTAATTGCTGCAGTATAACCACAATGAGTCTGTCAGACATATTGCTCCCAAAATAACCTCCCTATTGTTTTTTCCTTTTTTTCACCTGATCATCTGCACAGTACCTTTTCTCTTGGCTTTTCAAGTTCTACAATGCATATTCTTCCTTGTCTCAATCCTGATACTTAGAATGAGTTAGATCACCACTTAGTTCCATCAATGTTTCTAGTGCTCACTGGTCTTTTTCTTAGGCAAAACTGTCTGAAAAATGTGTGCATAGCAATGATTCTGTTTAATGTCACTCCTCACAGTTGTTCTCTGCCGTGTAGCCTAGAAGAAACTCCTGGTGACTGTTGTGGTCAGCTTGAGTCTATTTTTCTTCCTCTTGTTCCTGATTCTTTAGTTACTTCACTGCAATTTCCTTTCAATTTAGTTCTATCTCCAGTTGGGAAAAAAGCAACCAAGCAAACAAACAAAAAAAGCCCCCCCCAACAACCAAACTTCAAAGGTGCTTTATTTATTATCATCTTTTTGGCTTCATCTTTGTCCGATTTTACAGCAATCTGAGAATTATGCTGATTTGGTTTTTGAGTCCAACCATAAATGTCGTGTTTAAGTATTATTGTTGTCATAGTGGTTGTGTGTTCTTATGTTGCTTTACAGCATACACGTTGTGCATCTGATCTTGCTTTTGAAGAAATTATTTTTACTACTACTTTGTTACTGTGTTATTGCTCAAATGTCTTTTCATTCCATATAAAGAGGCTGATTTCTTGTAGCACCTTTCTGGCTACAGAATTTCTATCCCAGGGTCATGGAAGGCTCTTAAGAAATCAGTGCCATATCATGCCTACCTTCTTTATCTGTTCTGGGTTCTATATCACTTTTGCTTTGTAGCATTTCTTGTATTTTCATAGCCTGTATGTATGCAGTAAACAGTGTATGAGTAATTAATCTAAAGCCAGAGCTAGGTTTATGTTTTCATGCCCTGATACAGCTTTGGCAAATAGCTAAGCTTGAGAAGGTGTCCATTTATGTATCTACTTAGACCAATATGATAGCTCTGGGAATTTCTTCCTTCTGTGATTCCTCTTCTAGCTGTAACTTGTCCTTACATTTCTCAAATGTAGAGGTTGGGGTTTTCCCTTTATTTTCCCCTTTTTTGTCTTTTTTTTTTCCTTTCCTTCCCCCGCCTCCCTTTATCTTTTTCTTCTTTTTTTGCTTTTTTTTTTTTCTTCTTCCCCCGCCCCCTCCTTATTTGGTTGCTGTCAGATGGAAGAGTCTACCAACAAGGGTGAGAAGTCAGCCCCCCACTAGGCAGTTGGGCTAAAGCCTATATGGGTGTTAAGAAAGAAGTTCATTCTCTGTATTTTCTTTTTTTTCCCCCCTGAGATAGATATTGATCTACATGATGTGATTTTTTTCACCTGTTTGAACACCATGCTGTTCAAATAGAAAACTCTATGCTGCCTTTTGATTCAGGCTTGATTTAAATTACACCTTAGAATTACAAACATTCCTTCATCTTACCTGTCATCTGAAACTGCTCAGCTGGAGCCATTCTTGCTGTTTTCCTGGTTTTTCAGTTGTTTAATTCTCTGTTTTAGGAGGTCTCTGCTGATGCCACAGGAACTCTCACAGCTGCTGAAGAGAGAAAGGAGAAGGTGCCAAGCCCACATCTCAGTCATCTCGTAGTTTTGACATCTGGCAATTCACTGTATGGTTTGGCAGAGAGAGTGGTGGCCACGGAATCCTTGTAGGTTATTTACTGTACACTGTGTTTTGTGGTCACTGGAAGCTATGGATTGTTTAAGAGATTGTGATAATGAGCCAAAACCTTCTTGACAGGTCAAAAATTCCTGCTTCTCAACGTGATTTTAAATATGAGTGATAGAAGTAATTTCTTAAAGGTAGTGGGACCTAACCATCTGGTCTAACCATCTGCCAGCACATGCCGTGAAATTTTACTGCAGCTAGTCCAGTAATTTGCGACAGTGCAAGGCCAAATCTAACAGGAAAAATCTTTAGTTTTAAATAGGGTAATGGGAGTATTTACTCTGTATGGTTCATTTAAATCTTATATTACTCATGTGCTGATGGCTGAGACTCAAAACTGCTTGGTTCATATTGGTTTGGCTTGGATCGCAGTGTTCTTTCCAGTGGGTGGAAGTTTACCTGTGAAGAAGAGATTATAACGAGCGAGTAACACAAATCTCTTACAAAGGGGTCAGAATAATACTGAGAGTCAGGTGGGAATTCTTTTTCCCTACGAATTCTTTTTCACTACACAAGATGACATTTAAAGATTAGAATTTTAAAAATGTATTTTCACAGGAGCCTATTTGGTTTTGCATTCATTTATACTTAGAAAATATGCAATCATATTTTAAAATTGTCAGAATTGAGAATACTTGTTGATATGCTGGCATGAAACTGGTACGATTCTTCTCAGGATTAAATTTTCCAGGGTTACGTATCATTATTGCCAAATGTGTCAGCTGTAGGGTAAAAGTTGTACAGAGACATGCCAAATGGTGCATTTAGTTCACAGTGAATTTTCTTTGCTTTCAAAGGGTATTTCTGGCTGAGCAGTTTGAATTTCTTCAGCCTCATCTTGATGCGGTGATGCCAGCTGCCAAGAAGCCTTTTCTTCAGCAGTTCTATTCTCAGGTCAGAATTGTATAATTCACAGCTGATTTTTAAACAGATTTGAAACTCCTACAATATGGTGCAAATACTTGTACATCATAGTTACGTATTGCTCTTACTAGCCAGAAATTTACTGAATTGAATTTTCTTTATATTCTGTTTCAGACAGTGTCAACTGCTAGTGAACTACGTAAACCAGTTTATTGGATTGTTGCTGCTAAAGCTATTGATTATGAACAAATGCTGCTTCTCATGGCTAATGTGAAATGGGATGTGAAGGAAATCATGTCACAACACAATATATATGTGGATGCTCTTCTAAAGGTGAATACTTTCTCGGAAATGGTGTGCTAGAGTTTATATAAATATTAAATTACTGTAACACTTCATTAAAACCGTTAAAGTAGCATGGTTAGAGCAATACAGCATCCTGACAAATGGTAAGTTATTATCAGGAGGTCTGTCCAGAATTTTCATTATTCTTGCTGCTCGCAGATTGTTTTCAATGCTGATTTTTTGACTGCATAGTGGGTGAAAGTGACTGCAGAAGTTTAATGAGTTTCATGTCTAAGTCTTGAATGGTAGATAAATTTATAGTAAATGGAGTAACATTGAAGAAAATCCAGTGGCCTGAGATAGTGGGGTTTTTTATAACAATGGCTATTTGCTGTTCTGCATAATTCTGTTGGTTGTCTTTGAGCTGTATCATAGGGGCCATAGGTCAAACCAGCACCGATAATGATCGTGCACTATCAAACTGAAGTTGCTATGTTTAGAAGTTAGCATTTGAAAAGGAAAGTAAAAGGGAAGTTCTTCACCCGACTTCTCAATTGCATTCAATAGAAGTGGTTATACAATTGCTGTGTCTTGTGGCATACAGAACCAGTTCTTGGGAGGATCCCTGTCTCGTACTTTTATATATGCCTAAATTATATTTCTAGGTCTTTAGAAGGAAGTTCTGGCAGTGGTGGAATTATACTAATTCTTACAGAGGAACTGAAAATTTTATTTTAAAGACATGTGATGTATCGCAGGAAAAGTTACGCATCTGTGTTGAATAACAGTTTTGGTTACACCTTTGTACTTTGTAGCTGTTGTCTGCTTAAAAAAAATCAATGCAAAGAAGGGAGAATCTGGTAGAGGATGATATGTCATTACACTGAATTTGACTGGATCTTTGTGATTACCCTTCTTTATGCTGCCATGGCTTTTGGGAATCAGTTTGTATTTACATTTGGTCTCTGCAATAAAACTTTTTCATTTTCTGAGTGTGCAACTGCTGATGAATTTGCTTCAGGACAATCAGGGCTAATACCATTTAAAACCATTTCTGTTCTTTACATTATATAATCAATAATAGTTGCTACAGAAGCTTTTAGATTAGTGCTAAGCAATTAGTGATTTGCTGTGTACACTGGGACTCCAGGAGTGTCAGATGTAAGCACAATGTTTCATGTAATAACCAACTACTTTCAGCCATGTGCACACACATGCAAAATTCTATACTCAGCCATAGAATGTATGGAAGCAGATAAAGCGGGGAAGGAGGATTGTTCAAGAAGTTCATTAACACAGAGCAGTAGGCATCCTCATCTTCAGAAGAGTGAGTTGTATGCTGGTTAGAGTGTGACATTGTGGTACCCTGCTTCTTCCTGCCAAAACTGGTTATTGAGATTCCCTTCTGATTTTCTTCACTTACTGAATTTTTGATGGGGGGTGGAAAAAAGGAGGAGGAAAAAAAAAAAAGAGGGAAAAACCACCTGGATTAACAGCCTTGGAATTAATTTATTGGACAAGTACAGTCTTAATAGGCTGCAGCACAAACTGCTTTTGCTGGTTACACAGAGCAGTTCATTATCAGTCTGCTTTATATTTAAGTCATTTGATACTTTTTTAAAAGAGAGGGGTGTTAGTCACTGGCAGCAGACTTCTATTTCATTTTATGTAAGTCACAAAATCATTGTAGCAGTAATTATATTCAGTTATGACTAGTTTGTCACTCACAGTAACAGCTCAAATCTGTCCAGGCCATGGACGTTTCAGGTGGAAACAGGTGCCTTCCCTCTACGTGTTATCTAGTGTTATAGTATGCTCCTAAACTGTTAAATTTGGAATTTTCAGTCTATGCTCTCAGCTCCTTTTAAAGCAGCAGGAAACTATCTAATGCAAAAGGTTGAAGAACAAAAAGTGGTTACAATATTTCCAAGCTTCTCTTTGAAAGTTGATGGGGAGGGTATTTAGAGGGATAAAGAGATCATCACTGGATTTTCTTCAGTGGCTGCGTACTGACTTTTAAAAAGTTAAAGATGAGTTTAGGGAATGAGGCAATGAAAATGGCATTTGAAGGATTAGCTACTTCATTAATTTTCAGAGGTGTCAGTTTCACAGAGAACTACACCTCTGGGGAACAGAGCAGTATTTCCTTTTTTAAAAAAAATTACTGAGGTAATATTGTGAATGATATGCTAGAAAGCAGTATGCTTTCTACTTTGCACATTAAGCTTGTCTCTACAGTTTGTGTCTGTTTAGCTTCTCTGCTTTGCTCTTATTTTTCAGTATTCTCTTTCATGTGCATTTCTAATTTGTTGTTGCTAGGGATGTATAGAGTATGATCCCTTTTATGCTAAAGGAATAATGATCTTTCATGTTTCATCAGGAGTTCGAAGAATTTAACAGAAGGTTGAACGAGGTGTCTAAGAGAGTCCGTATTCCACTGCCAGTCTCCAACATCCTTTGGGAGCACTGCATACGCTTGGCCAATAGAACTCTTGTGGAAGGGTAAGTAGTTTGTGAAAGTCTTGCTTTTGGGCAAATACATCTATAATGATAATGTCTAACGTTCTCACTTTGTAGTGCACTGGTAAGGTCTTGTGCTTTTGGGGAGCCTAAAAATTATCAAGGCTTAACATACAGCTTAGCAGCTGTTTCACAGAGCCTGGTACAGCATTAAGCCTAAAGGGGATGGTCTTGTACCTAGGTACTGCTGAAGAATGGCATTGAGTGTTTTATTGAATCATTCGAAGCAACGTAGTTCTCTTTCAAAGAAACTTCTGAAAATTATCATTTCTTGACAGAGCAAAGAAGAAACTTAAAGTGTAATTGTCAGCATCTCTGTGGCGATGTCATTTGTCTTTGCCAGGAAGAAAGTTGTCAACCCTAGTAGTTAGAGTAGTGATGGAGTGGGATTTTTCCAAATTCATCAGGAACAGAAAGGTGTCTTAGTTGGCTTGGTCAACAGAGGCTCAAGCACCTTAGTCAGGAACTGTTACACCTTGCTCTTCCCTCCCTCTCAATTAGTGTCCCAGTCTTTTCAGAGTCAATATTGTAGCCTGAGTATTGTAGTCTTCTCATTCACTGCATTTATTTTTGTGTTCTTGTCCCATTGCTACCTATGTCTGGGCTCTCATCACAGCTTTTTCTGCATTATAGAATACGTGCTGTCTTCCGCTCCCTCTGCATATGTTTCTATATTTCTTTCCTGGTTATCTTTACCCTAATGCCTATTTTACTTCTTTCCATCCCACTCTCCTGCTGTCTACTCTAATTTACAACATCCTTCTCCAAGTGTTAGCTGTCTGTTGAGGATCATCAGCTTCCACTGCTTCCATCAAGCCATTGCTTTTAAACTCATGCCCGTTTCTTTTCATAGAATCATAGAATCGTTTTGATTGAAAAAGACCTTTAAGATCATCAGGTCCAACCGTTAACCTAGCACTGCCAAGTCCACCACTTAGACCATGTCCCTGAGCACCACATCTATGTGTGTTGTAAATACCTTCAGGGATGGGGACTCACCCACTTCCCTGGGCAGCCTGTTCCAATGCTTGACAACTCTTCTGGTGAAGAAATTTTTCCTAATGTCCAATCCAAACCTCCCCTGGTGCAACTTGAGGCTTTTTCCTCTTGTCCTATTGCTTGTTACTTGGCAGAAGAGACCAACACCCACCTTACTACAACCTCCTTTGAAGTAGTTGTAGAGAGCGATAAGGTGTCCCCTCAGCCTCCTTTTCTCCAGACTAAACAACCCCAGTTCCCTCAGCCACTCCTCATAAGACTTGTGCTCTAGACCCTTCACCAGCTTCATTGCCCTTCTCTGGACACACTCCAGCACCTCAATGTCTTTCTTGTACTGAGGGGCTAAAAACTGAACACAGCACTCGAGGTGCAGCCTCACCAGCGCCGAGTACAGGAGCACGATCGCTTCCCTACTCCTGCTGGCCACACTATTCCTGATACAAACCAGGATGCTGCTGGCCTTCTTGGCCACCTGGGCACACTGCTGGCTCATATTCAGCCAGCTGTCAACCAATACCCTCAGGTCCTTTTCTGCTGCACCCTTTCTTAGAGTGTAAGAGCGCTCATTATCAACTCCTCCCAAGTATCTGCATGTAATTTCTGATTCTTGCCCAGTTCTTTTTTTTCTCACATATCTTGTAGTTTCTTTTGCCAATGGGGAAATGGAAGGGAGGTATTCTGAATGGCTAACTCTTTGAATACCTTCATAACTTCTTTCATCTCTGACTTCTGTGAACGTATGGAATTAAAAGCCATGGAGGAGGTGTTTCTCCTCCAGTCAGCCAGTCAACTGAAATTGCTATCATCAAGCTCTTCACTGAGTGAAGAATCATCTCCAGTACAATCAGCCATATCCTTCTTTAAATTTTGCCCTGCCCTATCTCTAGTTCTATGTTCTTTCCTGTCTCCTGTCTGGCTTCTTGAAGTGCTTCAGTATGTCCTATTGAGAGTCATGGTCCGATCTTCTGCGGAGCTGCAGAGGGCTTGTGCCTTGATCCTCTCTCTTTTTCCCTTTTTTATTTCTGCATTCTGCAAATTCTTTCTGCATGCTAAATGTAAGGGTGCAATTTCTTCTTACGCTTAACCTGATCTTGTTGTATATCCAGATTCCAGCTGCATGTTTCTGCTGCCTCCTTTGCATCAGACCTAATAATCTAGGAACTGTATAATTATTAGGATCAAGTTCGTGAACCAGTGGAAGACTGAGTTTGCTTTTAATTTGGTACAAGGGAAGAATGGAAACAGTGGGATAGGATTGTTGCTTGTGGCAGCAGCCTGTAGGTGGGCTGGATTAAGTCTATCAAGACACCATGCTCAGATGAAAGATTTTTTTTTATTATTCCCTTTTATTCAGCTGGAATTGGCACTGTTAAGGGCATTGCAGTGTCATTTCCTTTGATCTTGACAAATGCAATTTCTTATCCAAACTGCAAACATCGTTTTCCTCACTTGTTTTCTATCACCCCACTCTAATCCTTCCTGGTATTACCCTTCTCTAAGCAGAACTGCTCTGTCTTGTTTGAGCTGAAACCTGTCACCCGTTTTTTCTGTCAATCTACTCTCATTAAAACAGTAACCTCTCGCAGAGATTAGGCAGTGCTGCCACCCTTTCTCCTCTGGTCGTTGTGGGTGGTTTGGAACAAACAGTTTTGTGTCTTTCTCTGATGCTGCCACTGTTGGTTCAGCAAACTCCTGGAGACCCTTCCTAAAATTGCTGCGTTACCTTTCAGAATTCAGTGGTCATCATCACTTGACTAAAGTCACTGTCTAGTTGTGCTGATCAGCATTGATTTCATTTCCTTTAAACCACTTCTATTAAGTTGTTCGATGTAGGAGTTTTTTGGGGGGAGATGGTGGTTTTTTTAAGTATCACTGGATGCAGTGGGGTTCTGTTCTATGAGTGGGGCTAAAACATATTATACTAATGCAAATAAAACTCTGCATCAGACATCCTAAGAGGAATTCTTGTTTGCTTTTAACTTAAAACCATAATTATGTCCCTCCTCAAGGTTCGAAGGACTAAGTTAGACAACTTTAAGAAGTAAGATTCATTTTTATTTCCTTGTAAGTTTTACTTTCCACTGTGTTTCTCTTTTCAGTTATGCCAATGTAAAGAAGTGCAGCAATGAAGGACGTGCCTTGATGCAACTGGACTTTCAGCAGTTCTTAATGAAACTAGAAAAGTTAACAGACATTAGGCCTATTCCAGATAAAGAATTTGTGGAGACCTACATTAAAGCCTACTACCTAACAGAAAATGACATGGAACGCTGGATAAAAGAACATAGGGTAAGAGTTAAATTTGCGTTCTTTTACTGTCTACCGGGAAAATTCACCATAATGATAGAATCATGCTAACAACTATAAATGATCAATGCTTCTATGCATTAAAAATGAATATATGCATATATATGTATATATTCATTTATTATAACAAAATCTGTATGGGAAGCAGTATAAATATAAATGCATGCGCGTGTATGTTCATTGTATTTATTATCATATGAAGTTAGTATGTGTTTGTACTGATTCAACATCTGATGACTGGGAAGGATGAGTAAGCCAGTCACATCTACCTACTGTGTCAAAAAATGTAGAGAACTAGAGCAAAGTGAAGTTGAAAGCATTTGTGTGCTGTTCGGAATGTGCCAGAGCGCAGAAGTCGATCGTCAAGAAGTACAGTTTGAAATCACGCTTTGCGTTTAGGAGTAGATTGCTTAAACTAAGTTGTAAGGCACAATGGGTAAGAGTCATTGCTTTTTCTTTCTTCGTTTTATAGTAATGAATCAGGACCAACATTGCTGTCTGAGATAAGTCTTCATTTGTGTTTTGAAAGCCTTTAGCATGCTTTCGTGGTAGCATAACCTAACAATTATAAGAGGACTGTGTAAGCAATAGTCATATGCTACTGGAGCTGCCCGTTGTTAAAGTGAAAAGTCTTTTAAAATGGAGCATTTCAAAATCTGTATTTTGGGATCACTATAAATCCTACTAGAAATGGATGAAAGAAATACATCTTTAATATAGTTTTCTTTGTTATACCTGGAGCCACAAGAGAGATTGTGAGCTGTTGTTTGGTGACCTACATGGAAAAACTCTTGTTTTAAACCTACTGGTGGAAGCTATATTTTGGATAGTGTTAAGTATAAAGGTAGTACTGGCAAATGTGGTGTTTAGACAGGTGTTAAGAATTCTTGTCTTAATGTTGTTGACATTTTTTCCTCCTTTATCATGTACTGAAATTAACATTGTTTGCAGACCCTGTAGACAGAAGTATTTAGAAGCTCATTGGAAATGAGAAGGCAAAATAAAAAAGATCAACTTCTGTCACAGTTTGTTTAGAAAAATGTTTTTGTGTTAAAAGCTTATCCCATTTGCATATATATTTCCCACCACACCTCCCAAAGAATGGAAACTACATGAAAAATTGATGTAGATACATATGTAATCACAGAATTACTTTCTGTGAGCTCAGTCCAACAATACTAAAGTTGTAAGCATTTTCCATTGTAATCTGCCATGTAACAAAATAGTTTTGTCCTCTGCCTCAACTATGAAAACTATCTAGACCTGACTTAACTACCACTTTAAATCTCCCTTGTGTACTGACTACTTCTATCAGTTGAAAAGTCCACAGTGTGTGTGACTCTGTTTTAAAATTTTCTGTCTTTGTCCAGCATTTTATTCTGCCATAACATGATCTGCTTTTATTTGCCAGGAATATTCCACTAAGCAGTTGACCAATCTGGTGAATGTTTGTCTGGGCTCCCACATCAACAAAAAGGCGAGACAGAAGCTGCTAGCTGCTATTGACGACATAGACAGGCCTAAAAGATAACTGGAGAAAGCTGCTCTCCTTGTGACTTGTACCTTTTTCTGTTCATGTGAAGCATGCAGACAAATCTCATGGACTAATGACAACATTCTCTTAAAAAACATTGTGCATGACCTTTCTTAGCAGCATTGGAGACACTCTGAAGTGGCATAATGTTCTAAAGTATGACTTTTCTAATCTGTATAATTCTTTTCTGTTGTATTTCTTTTCTTTTTTTTTTTCTTTCATTACTTGCCCTTAGTAAAGGGCCACTGTTTGTGTATCATTGGTGAGCTGTATATTTTGCAAAACTGTATACTGTAAGTAAAATCAAAATCAGAGAGAAACACATTGGCTTAATATATAGTTGATGCTCTTTTTTAATAAAAGGGCTACTTGAAAATATGATTTCTTTCCTCCATGCTTTTATCCTCAGAAATTGTGCTGTATTATGGACCAGTGTAAAATGAAAGGAAATGTACAATATTTGATTGATGTATTTTGCATGTGGATTAAGAGTGCAGATCAACTAAATACTCTCATGTTAAAGCCTCTCATCTTCATATGCATTTAAAAATGTCTGTTTATTTCAGAATTAATTTAGTCATATCAAAATTATTGACTTCAGATTAATAGAAGGTAATAAACACTGCACACTAGAATGATTTCTTTGTGAGACTTTTTTTTTCCTAATTTAACAATGCAAAATGTCATTTACAATAGAAGTTAGTAATGTTCCTTTCATGTCACTTCCCTTTTGTCCCTCTGCCAGTCTTCCCTGTTCCAAAGCAATAATGCCAGGGAATAGGAATAATGTTTTTTTGGCTCAAGTTATGGATTGATACTAACTTAATACTACTATTTCCTGCTCTGCTGTAGACACCCTGAATGATCCTGAGCAGCGCAAAATCGTTGGCTGTGTATTTGTCCTAGAAATGTCCTAGAAATGTCCTAGAAATGTGAGAGCATCACTGACTCCACTGAAGTTTTCAGGTTTGCCTTTGGTTTTCAGTATGTAAAGTTTTTTATTATTACATAATAAACTTTTTGCAGTGCTCTCAGACCTTTTAAAAGGAAACATGCTGGCATTGAGCTAATAGGTAAAATAATTTACATAAGCTCCAATCCACTAATGTATACAAGATGGTAAATTCTCAGTTTCAGGTTCCTACTTGCCATTGTACTTTGAATTCAAACATGGTAGAATCAGAACTTACTAAACAGCAGCAGTACCTATAGAAAATTGCCCCCTGGAAGCACTATAATTGCTCTTTTCTGTAGCTTAATTTCCTCTTCAGAGGTGGACTGAGCATAATTGTGTGAGTTCAGTGAAAGCCTGTATACAGTTTTAGAAGACAGGTAGAATTTACATTTTAAATATTGACTGTGTAGTATTCAGCTCCTTTGTTAATCTGTATTTTAAAGGAAATAAGATTTAAAACAAAATTTAACTCCATTCTTTATTGACCATGTTGTCATGCTAAGTTCCAGTGAAAGCTTGTTTAGCAGCATGTAAATGTATATGTTGAAGCTGAATCACTTTTACCCTCATTAAATAGGTGGTTCAAAAAAAAAAAAAAAAAGAAAAGTGTAGTTCATTTTGAAAGTGTGGACTTTTGCGTCAGTGTATCTGCCCTGAAGTCAGATCCGGAACAAGAGCTCTCAGAAGAAATAGAAATGTGTTGGAGACGATTAGTGTAAAATCAATTTTGTTCTCATGGATGAGAAGAAATTTAAATATCTTTACCAGAGCTTTGGTGAGCTGAACACATGGTTAATTTCTCCTGAACTATTTAGGTTGCTGTAATTTGATTGCTTACCAACAAGTAGGAGTGTAAGCACTGATTGGAATGGAGGGTCAGGGAAGGATGTAAGCAATTGCCTGAATCATTGGAGTAATTTTTTGTAGTGTATTTATAGTTTGACTTGTGATTTTTAAGTTAGCCCACAAATAAAAGAGTGTGTAAGATGCAGTGTTAAACCTGTGCAACAACTGTTTGATCTTCATTCGTAGGTGCTTTAGAAATGATTCTCTTTTCCAGAGGAACCTCCCCTCGCTCCCCAGGATTGATGCTAAGGGAGAAGCTGTGTAGCTTAATGGCTTAGATGCTCCCTTAGATACATGATTTAACTTTCAGGTTGCCCTGTGTGGAATCAGAAGTTGGACTCAGTGATCCTCATGGGTCCCTTTCAACTCAGGATATTCTATATTACTTAGTCTTGGGTGACTAATGAAGCCAAGTTTTGGCTGATTGTTGAAGTATTAACTTATTAAGAGTGTGTTTGGTAGTTTCCATCCTCTAGTATAAGAATATTTTACAAACCATTGATTTTTGAGCAGCTCTGTACATCTGTACAGCCTCTCATGCTGCTTTTTCTGCAATAGAGGATATGGCTTAAATATCCTTTATGTTTTAAAGGAGTGTTTTGGAATACTTGAATAATAGAAGATGATTTCCTTCAGTCTCCAAGGAGAATGACCAGCACTGCAGAGGTGGACAATGCATCTGTAGTCCTTCTTTAGCCTAATGAATCTAAATCCTCTTCCCCAGACAATGAGTACTCTGATATTTGCCAAACTCAGCTGGAACAGTTTGCAAGTCTCTGGTTAGGCAAAGCCTATTCCTACCCTGATCAGCATGCACCTGGCTTTTCTACAGTCAGCTTCGCTCGGTTGCATCTAATGGTGATGCTGTTCTCCAAAGCAGCAGCTGCTAGGACAAAAATAGGAGGAAGCCAACTGATTGGTTGCTGCGACCCTGGTATAGGAGTCAAGTCCTTGCTTTGGTGTGGGTTAATTATTCAAAGCAGAATGGCATTGACGGGAAAGAGAATCTTGGATCAGCAGTGCTTCAGCTGATGGGATAGTGCAGAGAGTAGCCCCTGGAGGTGTCAATTCAAGTGCCTGATCTGGCTAGGGACTTGGACGCGCCATGATTTCAGATGAGTAGCTAGATTGCCAGGTAACTGACTATCCTGGGGTCCCTTGTTCCCACATGGGAGCGTCTTCCCACGTGTCAAATAAAAGCTTGACTTGCCTCTGATCTGCAATGGGAAAAAACTAGTCCTTGGCCAGACCTGCTGAGCAAACCCTGGATATGGGGTGTGGATTATAGCTTGTGAACACCGCTGAAAGCACAGCCGTCCTTTTGTCCCTGCCTTCTTAGGGGAGAAAAGGGGGTGAGCGATCAATGGCTCTCTCAAAGCTGTCTGTGAAAGGTTTGCATCCTCTTTTAATTTTCACGAATGTGAATGACAAAGGCATGTCTCGTGCTACCGAAGATGGAGATTATTTAATGCAAAGCTGTGGGTGTGGGTTGTGGTCTTGACTTGTCTTCCTGCCACAGAATGCACAAAATTATAGATCCTCATCTTCTTCCTGTGCAGGTGATATATTTGGGGGCTTTTCCCTTTGAGACCTTGCTTATGGTTAACATTTATGAAATTTCTGTATTGCAAGCTGTACTTGTAACTCGAACTTTGGATAAAGCCGGTGTTTAAAAAAAAAACAAACAAAGTCAACAAAAAAACCCCAAAACCACACAAAGACAAAAATCATTCCACCTGATTAAATTGATAAATAGTGCTGTCTCCTGCCAAAATCCTTGAAAGGCCAGATGTCAGCAGGCACCTGCTATATTATAAAGGATGCAAACAGAGATGGAAAAAAAAATGCAGATTTATTGTGTGTGAGTGATGGTATCTATTTTATTTATAACCACTACTTGAAACAGCATAGTGTAAAGACTAAACATTGCACCAGACACTAGGATTATGTTGCAAGTATGGAAATAACACAATTTGCAAACAGCAAAGTTTCGTGCTTGCTGGCTATTTAAGGATACTTGCGAATGTGGTGTCCTTGCAGCACTGGAGCTGTTTTTCATCACAGCGGGGACTTGGTTTTAAGGATGTCCTGCTCTTCCATGAGATCCCGAAGTGTGATGTGGAGCAGTATCTTTATACTAAATACTTCACAGATCTGTCGGTTTGGTTGTTGGTGTTTTTTTTAAATAGGCATTAAATCAAATAACATACCATATGATAAAGTACACGCCTGAGAAACCAATGAGGAGGTGAGTAACCTCTTTTTTTGTGTTGAGGATCCATTGCTAAATTTTAATTTTGTGGAATATTCTGTTCCAGTTCCAGAGGGTTTACATGTATAAGCTAAACCAAAAATATTTGGATGTGACCTAAACTTGAATCTACTTGGCTGTCCTGTTAAAGAAAGTGCCACCAGTACCCCTCAGCTCTGCTGGATTGATCTGAAACTTTCGATCTGGATATATGCATAAAAGAAAAAAGCTTTCAGAAGAGAGATGTGTAGATCTATATGCTACATTCGTAGATTATCTAGCATAGTTTTCAATATTGTCAGATTTAACACTGACAAACAGCTGTCTAAACTTGTGTTGATCTTTGAAAAAATATATGAGGAAGCTGAACATCTAGGAGAAGAGATGCTGTGAAGTGCCTCTTTTCACTAAGAACAAAACGGATGATCAGATGTGCCAAAGGACCACAGGCATTTCTGAAGATTTTTTTACAAGTAAATCCAAGGTTAGTACTTGTACATATTTCCTGCCTTATATGTCTAGTAATTTTTATTCATAAGTACCACTGCTGATAAAAAAACCCATTCTTTGTATTTCAGTAAAGAATAAAATAGAAATGTCACCTCAGCCTTAAATAAAATGGATCCTTGTGCAGGAAAGATATTGTCAGGCTTATACTGTGGCTGCTGTCTGAGAGCTGCAGGGAATTCCTGCAGAATATGCACCATAAAAGGGTTCCTTTTGAAATTCATCCATATATTATAGTGTAAATACATACATGCACATTGAGTTTTGCGTGCAATGTAATTCAACACTGGGGACCATGAAAAAAATTCAACAACAAGCAAGGCATGATTGGTTTCTCTGCCTTCAGCTGACACTGAAGCCTGGGTAGGAAGAGCAGAGGTGTTTCCTTGTGCAAGTAACTGGTGTCCATTGAGGACAGGGTCATAATCTGGGTCCGAATTCAGAGCTTTGAGTACATCTGAGTTACCGTACTGCTCCCACTGCTGCTGACTTCACCACTGACGTGTGCTGTGAAGGGAGCATCGTGCGGGAGCCTGCTGAAGAGGAGCTCCAGCCCAGCCCAAAACGCTGTAAGCATCAGGTTGGACACTTGCTGGAGCATGATGCTCCTGCCCAGAAGCAGAGATTGTGGATGGCCATGCTTGCTGTCCTGGCTGCCTGGGTTTGACCTGCTCCAAATGCACGGAACTGGTGGGTTGGAGGATGGGCAGAATTGAGCTGAAAGGCGTTGGTTCTTCATCGTCGTGTATGCTCAGCTCGCTCCGGGACAGTTCGCTGATCTCTTGAAATGTGAAACCTCAATAAATGCAGGAATTGTCATTGCCTGATGCAGTTATTAGCACAGCACTAAGCACCCATGAGTTTTCAGGACAATTTATTTCTTGAAGTGTAGGAAAATGTCATCGATGTAAAGGAGTTTGACCAGGGGCTGCTTCCTGGCCCTGAGCTGCCAACATCTGTCTCCTCCAGAGCAGTTAGAATATTTAAGCAGCCAAATGCTCCGACCAGCTCAGCATTCATGGGCGGTTTATAACGTGCTACATTTCAACTAGACAAAGTTGTTGC